TCGTAGTGATTATGTCTATTCCTCTTTCTCCCCACAAGGCAATACCCAATATGTACCAAGTCTAAGTTAATCAGTTGCAAAGATCAAATCTGCTGTAACGTGATACATATGCTGTGCATAGTAAGTTGTACTTGGGTATAAGGCTGACTACAAATGAATTGAACTTGGGTGTTGGTCACTACAAATAAATTGAACTTGGGTGTTGGTCACTACAAATGAATTGAACTTGGGTGTTGGTCACTACAAATGAATTGAACTTGGGTGTTGGTCACTACAAATGAATTGAACTTGGGTGTTGGTCACTACAAATGAATTCAACTTGGGTGTTGGTCACTACAAATAAATTGAACTTGGGAGTTGGTCACTACAAATAAATTGAACTTGGGAGTTGGTCACTACAAATAAATTTAACTTGGGAGTTGGTCACTACAAATAAATTCAACTTAGGGTTCTGATAAATTACACTTGGCTGACAGTGACTACAACTAAATTGAACTTGGGGTCTATTGACTACAACTAAATTATACTTGGCTCCACATTATTTCCAGCAATCAGACTATGGAAAGTCTGGTTACCTGGAGTGCAAAGAAGAACTTCAGTTGACAACAAAGCTTATTATAAATCTTTTATCTTCTTTGTACTAATCCTGTGAAATACAGTATATATGTCACTTACATGCATCTATGCATTGAACAGTTATATACTTATACTATACTATACCACTACATAAACCACCAAACCCTGGGGCCCACACTATATAACAACTAGTCTTTATTTTCCACGATTTCCTCTTCCTCTTTGTCCACCTCTTTGTCTTCCTCTTGATCCACCTCTTGCAATTGCAGGGGTTCTTCTGCTTTGTTGTCTTCCTGCATCTCGTCTGTGTTCCCACAGCCACCTTGCTTCTGCTTGATCAGTTGCTTCTGTTTGTGTCACCTTCTGCCCTTTGCCTGCATTACATGTTATTTCATGGTGATATGGAAGGAAGCAATCACGACACAAGGAAATTCCACATTCATTGCATTTGTAGACGCTGTACACGTAGTGGCCCTTCTGAGTTTTCCTTCCTATCTTAATGCACATTCTACAACTAGCACCTCTGCCCTCTCCTTTAACCAGGTGGTGATTTTGTATGTATTGAGAACTGGTTCAGCAGTCGTCACTCTCTGTTTTCTTGAGCAAAAGCCACCGATCATAGCACAACCAACTTCTACTTGGAATGCTTTATGCGTTTTCTTCTCATCAACTACTTCTTTGTAGATAATGTAGCTGTTGCAAATGGCAGTATCTAATAAGTAGAAGAAGACATACTTCCACCATTTGTGGGCCTGACGTTGGGAAGTGAAATAAGATCGTATTTGATTAGCACGATCCACTCCACCCATGTATTTATTGTAATCACCTACAATATCAGGAGCTGGAAGGCTGTAGACAGATTTTCGATGGGTTGTGGGTGACTTGATGAATCTGTTGATCCTTCCATCATTGAATCTAAATCCTTCTCGGCATGTAGAAAGCAGATTTAATAATTTTGAATCTTTATAAGAGACAACAACATGATCGTCTTTCTGTCTTGCAGCAAACTGCCCTCTGCATAGGTTTTTGACTTTGTCACTTGCTGGGTTTCTTCTGGGATTTGTGCGAAGGGCATTTGGGAATCCCCTTCTATCTTGGCGCATACTTCCAACAACATAGGTATGGTGATAGTCCAGGAGCCTACTGGCCATCTCAATGCTGGTATAATAACTATCTGTGTAGAGAACATGATGTAATCCAGTGAATGGCTGGATTAAATTCTCGCATAAGGCAGCAGTTTTGGAAACGTTTCGCATATCCTCTTCATGACTTCCAGTACTAGTCATAAATTTGAGATTAGCCACGTAATTTGAATGACTATCTGCCAAAACATATACTTTGAACCCTTTGGCTCTGGGTTTTCCCTGGATGAACACAGTTGGAATTCCATTATATCTTCCTTTATACCCAATGATGGCTTCGTCTATTGCCACCTCACAATGAAGATTATACATCTGTTGCGATTGATGTATTACAGTTTTCAGTATTGGTGCAACTTTATACATTGGTCTATGTCTTCTCTCTGTAGCTCTCTCAGCAGGATTACTTATATTAGCTGGATCATTTCTTGCATCATTGACATGAAAATATTGCAATATTTTTTGAAACCTATTACGGCTCATTACACCTGAAATTTTTTCATTTCTTAAAGCAGTATTTGTTGACCAATAGTCATTCAGTTCCCCTTTTGGATCAACACCCATAATTATCATGATGCCTAGAAATGCTGCCATCTCATCATCATCTTTGATTTTAGCCAAGTACTTGTCCGCTCCTTTGTTTCTTTTTATATATTTTGCATAAGCATTAGTCTCTCTTCTGAGTTTTGTCACAAGCGATTTAGGAAATATTTTTTCAAAAGCACTTATTGGTGTAGGTATGTCTGCTTTGTTCACATTGGGACCAGGATGTTCACCTGTGAACTCTTCAACAACATGTCTTCGGAGTGTCGGAGTTCAACCATCACTATCAGCAACATTGTCATCATCTTCATCATTAGAAACACATGTAGGTTCAATATACTCTGAGTCACTTGGCCAGGTTGTTTCTATTTGTGTGTGAGCATGAATGCGATGATGTGTGCTGTTCCTGTCATCATCATCAGAGTCCATCTCTTCACCTGATGTAGTGTCCATGCCACTGTCAAGATTAGAGGTACTACCCCATTTTCACCATCATCATCACTACTATAAAGGTCACTTTCATCACCACCCTGA